CACGAGCATCTGAAGGCTGCCCCTGAGAAATGGGCATGGGCTCGCGGCTCCCCACGGGGTACAGCGCAGAAGCAGCTTCAGGAAGAGAGAATGCTCTTTCACTGGTCATCCCGGTGCATCATTCATTAAATATAAGGCCCTCCACGAAAACCAGGGCTTCGTGTTCCCCGTGCCCCTCCTGCATCAGCCCTGACGTCAGTAGTTTCAAGCCATGGAAGTTAAATTAAGGCCAGTGCAGTCTAATAGGCAAGGGAGAGCAAATCCTAAGAAGTCAAGGTAATGAGAAAATACCTGCCATCTGGAGCTGTCATAAGCACGAATCTACATCACTCCCCACAAAATAAATAAATTACAGCCTGCGGAATGCTACTCTCCCTGGATGCAAAGCCCCGCTCCTGCCGCGACTGCCAAAAATTTTGGCCTCCCCGCTTTCTGCGTGATGATGATGGTCGGCTTCTGCCGAAAGCCCCAGAGAGATGAGCATGGGCCCGGGAAGACATCTGCAACCCCTGGCTGTCTGAGCGCAGCGGCTGGAGTGGGATCTGTTCGGCTGCATCCGCTCGCTCCCTTCCTCGCTCTGACAGAAAGTTTTCCTGCCGGCTCTGACAGCACCGCAGCCACTTGGGGAAGCACATGACTTCCTCGGGAGACGGCGTTCCTTATTTGTGTTGCAGGCCTCCAGCAGGCACGGCACCGAGGCAATATTTATATCAGTTTTTGTAACATCGTCGCAGCAGCTGCAATTTTGGGAACTGAAGTTCTGGCTGGAAGTGGAGAGAGAGGCACAAAGCATGCCATGCCACATAGAAATCAGGGTGGAAGGAGGAGGAAAAAAAAAAGAAAAAGAAAATCGGCAACCAGCCTCCTCCCCCAGAAAGCTCGTTGTGTTCTTGGGTGCCAGGGGTGCTGCTTGCCCTCCAGATGGTTACCGCAGAACCCATCTGCCTAAAAGTGAGTCAATGGAAATGGCAGCTCAGGATGCCAGTGATGGGACCAGATCTGTCCCCTCAGGGTGCCTGCCTCCTGGGGGAGCAGGGCAGGGGAAGGGGAGTCCCCTGACTAGGTGGCTTTCCATGCTACGTGCCAGGAGGGGGGAGGCAGGAAAGAACTCCAGCCCTTTGGCTGTGAGACAGGGTAGCGCAGATAGCAAGGCTGCCTCCAAAACTGCTGCAGCCTGGTGCCGTGCCTCGGCAATCAGCCCGAGCAGGCTCCTTAGCCCAGCTGCAGTGCCGTGCTGGTGCAGCCATTCTGCTTCCAGGTCCCTGCTGTGCAAGTGTCCTGGCTTGTGTGGAGCTACCTCCCTGTGGTCTCTCCTGGGAAATCCCCAGGGAACCAGGATAGGAGTCCTGTCTTCCAGATGATTTACCTGCTGCTTCCCATTACAGGAATATGACCCAATTCTCTCCTCTTCTGCCACCTGGCTTCATTTCGGTGGTGTTAAGCCAGAAGAGGTTTGAGGCTTCACTGATGCTGTGGGTCTGGAAAGCCATAGCTGTGGGTCTGGGAAGCCACAGCCATAGTTGTCTTCACTGTGTCTCCTCCCTCCTTCATCTACTGTGCAACTGAGGCAAATAAGCGCTCACGGCTGGTAGCATGAGTATAAGAGGGGCTCTCCGCTGCCCAGGCGTGCTCTTAGTAGGTGACTTGTACCTCTGCTGCCAAACAGCAGTGGCTGGCAGGTCAGTGGGCCTGAATTCTTCCCTGTACACTGCTTTATCTCCATGTAACTCCACTGGTCTGTAGAGTCATGTCTGACAGAGGACATGTCACACTGTCCCCATTTATCTTCAAGCTTGGTGGAACAGAACAAAGTTGGCATGGAGCTAAAATTCTTCCACCAGGTACTGCCCCAGACCCTGGTTGTTAGGTGATGCACATTTTATCATGGGCAAGAGCTGAAAGCAACTTGCCCTAAACATAGCTGTTTGCTGCAAAACACCTTCACTCTCCTGAACTCCACAGGGTCTCAAGGAAAGGTCCTCTCCACTTGGCCACCAACAAGCACTCCGTGTCCATGTGCCCCACACTCCTCTGAAAGGACTGCCATGAGGCACCAGGCAGGGGAACCATTGCTGTGTCTCCCTGGGAATACTCTAGAAACCAGCACCTGAAGTTGCATTGCAGGCACCCTGAGGTAGAGACGCCAATAAAGACTGGCAACCTGGTGAGTATGGCTTCTTGGGCTGTGTCGCTCAGAAACCCCCTCCAGTTTCCTACCTCATATGCCCTTGTTGCCATGAGCAGCTCTACTCTGTCTCACTAAGAACTGAAACGTTGGTGCCCGAGCTGTTTCCTTAGCCCAAGCACCCTGAAATGCTCCTGGTAAGCAGGGTTGGGGTCAGACAGGGAAGGAGAAGGAGGGAGTAAGCAAAGACGTGCCAGCAGTGGTGGCAGATCCTCTGAGGTGGTGTGGGGAGGGCTTGGCAACCCTTTCAGCACTGTCCTATTGCAACAGGAGGGAGGAGGATATACAGAGGTTACTTAAGAGCCCCCAACTTTTTCCAGGCTTCTATTGCACTTCAGAAATTCTGCAAGAAAAGAAAAAAAAACCTACTATCTGAAAAGAAGGTACCCTTGCTAACTGAAAAACTTCCTTTAAGTGCTTACTGCTATTAAATAATTGCTACGTTTTGAATTGCTGTTTTCAGGAGCTTTGGGAAGAAGTTGTGTTCTCAGCCATGAATATTTTCTCAGAAGGATGGCATGGCTCTTTCATTGCTACATGCTTATGCTGAAATAGATGTGAAAGCAGTTTTGACTAGCTCAAAGTCTCTGATCAGCCTACATCTGAGATTTCCCTTACGGTCATTAGTGGGAGAGAAATAAGTGGTTAAGTGCTTTTTTCTTTCCTTTTTTATTTCCTTCTCCCCCTTTCTCTCTTTCTCTCTATCTCTATTTCTCTTTCTCAAAAGTGGATTTTCTGGGTGCCGGAGTTAGCCCTTTAGATATTGGGTGGGTTTTTTTGCATAGGGACAAAAATACAATTTTCCAGTAATCATCCACAGACTGTTGTAGGCTGTAGTATTTGCGATGGTTGCAGTATAACTTAGAATGTCATTTTATTAGGGGGAGGTATGTGTGTGATGGGCTTTCTGGAAATATAATTTGCTATTTTGGATTCAGTAATACTGCTTCGGAGGGTGGGAGGGTGAATGATTTTCCAGTTCTTTTACCTGAAACTCCCTAATGTTTTTAATGCCTTGATTCTCCTAGGCAAGTAGTTCTGTGTGAGGCTTCCCTCTCCTTCTTCCGCCCTGCTTCTTCTCTTATTCATGTGTTTTGACAAACACAAAATGCCTTCCAATCCTTAGAGAGCTGTACTCCATCATTAGACTGATGTTTTCTGTCTCTCAGTTTTTATTTATGTGAGTCTAAAAATGTGTAGCTCACTGACACCCCACACTGGTTTTGGTTTCTCCCATCTTACATGTGCCACGCTGGCTCATGTTTGCTTTTTCCTTGCACTTTTACTTTCTTTCATGGTATTACAACATTTTTAATACAGGATGTCTGAAACAACGAACACCAACAAGGAGAAGAAACCTCCTCTGAATGGGAGAAGAGCCCTCCCACCAAACAACTCCAATGATGAAGAAAATGAGGTGCCTGAGATGGAGGCTTTTGGATTGATACCGAGAGGATTTAATCCAAAAGGTACAATGTACAATTAAGACATGGGTGTATTCTTACATACTTACCTCTGCCCAGGTCTGTGAATTAAAACCAAACTGCTTTTTGCTTAATATTGTCATTTGTGTCCTACCTACTTCTAGAGCTTGTTACATGTTTTGATCTCAGATATCTTTTATCGCTACATGTGGGCAAAACTTACTAAAAAGCACCCGTGTTTGGAAGTATTATCTTAGGTTATGGGTAGGGAGAGTGTGGAGTGGAGAAGTTGAGTGACCAGTTTCAGCTTGAACTGTGGGAGTGGTTAAAAAAAAAGGCAAGAATGGGCTTTCCCAGTTTGATCACAATCACAGAGTCACCTTAGAAACTACTGGCTTCAGGCTTGGCTGTGGCAGCACTGGGGTGAAGGGGGCAGAAGGACCCTCCCCTTTTAATGGCCCTTCTGGTTTGTATGGCCTTAAACTGACTGTGGAACTACTGCAAAACACTGGCTACCAGGGAAAGCTTTTTCTAGACATGCAACTCTCTCATAAAAATGACCACAAAACTAAGAGAAATCCCCATAATTTTAATTCTTCTCCTTTGAAAAGTGTTTCAATCATTTGGTTGGGGAGTCAAAACAATACCGTGTAGGGGATGGGCAAATCAAACCACATTCCCAGTGCCAACTTTTTTGAGTCAACCTGAAAAAAAATAGATAAGATTTGGTTTAAAAGAAATCAGGATTGGCTCCTGAATGAGTCATCAACCAAATGAAGTTCATTTTTTTGGCCTGTTTGAAATGAACAGCAGAACTTGTTGAACGTGGCAGCTCAGGGTAACCAGATGTAATAATACTTAATGCTCATATGGGACTTCTCATCCAAGGTTGAAAGAGTGCTTAATAAATGTGGACAAGCATTAATTACTGCTTTTTACACATTGGGAAACAGGCAAAGAAGTTTTAAGGGACAAGTTCAAATTTTTATTGCAAAGCATTATTTCTGTAATCCTCATCATGTGCCTTAAGCACACATCTCCCCATTTTAATATACACATTTCTTTAAAAAGCGTTTATTTTAAAAAATGCCTGAGCAAACCAACTGGCATGTTAAGACTGTAGAAATTTTGCTTGAACCTTTTCAAACCACCCCATAGTTCTGGGGCGAGTATGTGTTTTTAAATTGTCAAATGTATTATAATAGAGTTCCTGACTAGATATCGTTTCAAAACCAGTATGCTCACAGAAGCTGGAGATGTGTAAAGGTGTGGGATACCTTAGAATGAATGCAGCCTGTAGCTAAAGCCCACCAGTACCAGGAGAAAGATTCCTATTGCTTTTTGATGTGCTTCACATCAGGCTCTGGATGAAATGTGGTGCTGGTGGGTGAGCGCCTCTTGCTTTTCAGAAATGCAAAGGAAATTTAGGAATGTCAGGTCAAGTGACTTGAGTTAGGAACCCAACATGTGCTTAAGGTGATGCTGCTGGTGAGAGGAATAGCCCTTGTCCAAACCAAGAGTTTGTGTGGCCATAGGATAAATGTGCCTATGGGACTGGTATGGCTGAAAAATAAATCTGTGCATAACAGCAAAACTCTTTTTGTTCAGCTGGATCAGCTCTGCTGTGAGGTTCAGCTCTGCAATGCTTGTAGCAACAACAAGCAAGGGGTAACCTGAGGGGAAGGGACTGCAGCAGCATTCCTGTTTCAGTGCACGTCAGCTGTGATCTAAGCCTGTGATAGCAGTTGATGTAAGTGTGGTCTCTGGACACACCGTTTTGGGGTAGGACACTTAAGTCACCCGTCAGACAATGTTAAAGGTTTATAGTCTAATGCAGCTCAGACTGGGACTTACATCCAGGAGCTGAGCCTGCCCTGAGCACTCACAGTGTTGTGCCTGGGGGATAAAGTGAGCGTCTGCAGGCAGAGCAGGAGCGGCGCCCAAATCTTTTGTAGTGGTTCCCACAATTTCATTGCCATAACACACAGAAAAAAAAAACCATGCAAATGTTTTTATCCTTGCTGGTACAACTGAGGTGTTTTCTAGCCTTTGGGGTAGGATTGGACATCTGCTATAAACAACTAAACGTCAGTGTTTTCACCTGTGTCAGATCTCATAGTCAACACAGAGCCGTCCAGTGAGCGGAGGTGAGGGCACAGGCTCTCCGGAGAGGCAGTGGGTGTCACTTCCAGGGTGATCTGTACCCTTCTCTCAGCTCTGCTGGCTGCAGCAACCAGCCACCAACTGGCTGTAATAAAAGGTTGCATGCCAGGCTCACATCATTTAGATGCCTAAATTTAACTGAATCTTGCCCTTGATCTGTGCAGTGTAGGTGTCTACAGCTGAGCAAGTCACCCTCGTTTCCCTTGACAGCCAACAGAGAGAAACAGGCATTTTTAGGGTGTGATTCATTTGACCTATTTTAGCTACTACTCTAGGATGAGGTAAAACCCTGCGCTTGACTAGCTCTCTGCTGACGCCCACTTCTACTCCACTGAATCACAGCCGGAGCGAGCGGCGATGGCTGCCTCCCCAGCCCGGTCAGTGGGCTGCCTGCTGCAGGAGCCCGGCTCGCTTGCAGGAGGAGATGCTCAGTGCGGAGGACGAGCAGCCCCTGAGCGCTTCTTCAGCAAGAAGCCCGTGTCTCTGTGAACACGCCTGTGCTGTGTCCTCCCCCTTGGCTCTTCCCAGCCAGCTCATCCCACCGCAATGTGTTACGAGTGGGCCTGGCGCTTTACAGCCGCTCGATGGGAGGACACAGCCCTGCGGCCCCACGGTCTGCAGACTCCCCACACACCCTCCTCTGTGAAGTTCGGCAGCTCGCCATGGAATCGTGCATCCCCTGTCAGCAGGGTGATGGGCACCTCCTTTGGAAATTCAGACTATTAGGTTTGCAGTCCAGAGCCGTTTCTCTCTGGTCCTCTAGGAAAGCCTGATGTTTGAAGACTATTCTTGTTATTCAAAAAATAGCTCAAGCTTTTGTTCCTTTATTTCCATGCAAGCTTAACGTCGCAAAAGCTTTAAGAAAGCATCAGACTGCTGCCTCTCCTGCAGCAGACCAGGCTACGGGCAAACTGTCAAATGGGCCTGACTTCAAAGGAGGCCTTGATGGCCACCTGTCCCTCACAAACAGATGAGCAGTGACATGCACAGCGCCCAGGCCCTTCCTTTTGATCGTACTCTGGTGATGGTGTTAGCACATCCTGTTGCCCTGCTCATGTTTTGTCCTCTGTAATTCCCATTACTGTAATTAACAGTCACAGGTTTTCTTCATCTGGCAAGCTCAACACACATTTTAACGCTGAGAATGAAAGTGAAATGTGTTTTCTGCAGATGTGTATGGCTGTGTTTTGACAGGAGCCATGTAAAGTCCTGAGATAAAATGAAGTAAATGCTGAAGTGACAGCCCAGGGTGGCTTAGCTTTGCAGTTCCTTGAAGGGGCTAACATACAAACCAAGTGCAGGGTCACTGTTGCCCTTTATTTCAGAACACGAGATGAAAACAAAACAAACCTTCAACTCCATTTCTATGCCTCCTTGGAAGGAGGGAGAAGCTGAGCCACACTTACTGATAGCTTCACCCCTCACAGAGCCCCAGGATATGCTGCTTTTACATGCAGTGCTTTCAGCCTGGGAGGGGTTGGGAAACAAAATGAGAGAGACTCTCCCCTGCCCCCGCTTTACCCCCCTCTTGGAAATTGCTGCCTCACATAATTTAACTGTGAGCTTTCTCAGCATTCTTGTGAGTGACAATTGGTAGGTTTTGCAGCAAGGGAGGCAAAGCGTGCCCGACTTCACAGAGGGGCAATGAGAATGATTTCTGAGCAAAACACATTCAATGTTTCACACAAAAAACATCTCTGTAACTTCAGTCAGCACTAAAGCCAGTGAGGATCTACAGAAGTTACTCCAGAAGCCTGGTGAATTGAGCAGAGAATAACAATAACATTGCCATGGGACTTTAAGCCTGCCTCAGGATTGAACAGGGTACTCCAGCCTTTCCGCAGATTAGGGTTAACAGGGGGCGGATAGGTTTGGGTTCAGTTCTCCAGTGCTTTTCCATAAAAGGATCATCATCTTGCTGTCTCCTCAGGAAGTTTCCTTTCCTTCTGTCTCCCCACAGGGCAGGGTTAGGCAGCTGATGGTGACAGTGCCCCGGCAGGGACCTGCTCCTGCCTCCCTTATTTCCCCCCTCTCTGTTAGCTGTTGCCCAGAGCCCAGGCTGTGGGTGGCTTGGCAAGGGCAGGAGAAGGACCATGCTGGTGTCCAGGGGAGTTGCTGCCTACGGGGCTCTGCTGATGTTTTCAATGCATCCCTGCAGAAAGGCAGGGCTAATGCACAGGCTGCTGTAGGCTGGAGGCTACACACCTGAGACAGAGCTGGTCTCTATGCGGTGCCTCCCTCCCTGCCTTCAAGGAAAAGTAGTGTGCAATGCTGTTGTCTGAGCTTCTGTGAAATGGGCTGCGTTCAGCCTTCGGTGACTTGTATAGCCGACTCATTCGCTGAGCACATCGTTCCTGCTCACAGCGTACTCAGTAGCAGGCCAAATTAGCCGCCACCACCATGAGTACACACAGCTCCACCAGCTGCTGTAAATGTGCACCTCTTTTTGCCAGGCATGAGCGCGGCTCTAGAATTGTCAGTATAAAATGCAGAAATTAGCTAGTTTCTAACTGTCAGCACCTGGAAAGACAAGCTGAGAGCTGCAAATCAAGCTTTACTTTTCTGTCTCTCTCCTGGTTTGTGAGCCATAACGGTCCTCCTGGCAGAGGTTTTGCGATTATCTGCCCGAGCATGTAGGCGAAAGAATGATGTCCAGTTTGTTTTCATGTGGTTGCTTATTGTGTGAGAAGACTCCCATTGCAAAGATTCCCGATATGGTACAGTCATGTAGCTCGTGGTGACTGCAAGTGCCTTTGGCTATCCTGATGCCACCCCACACTGGTCATTAGCTGAGCAGATTAACTTCTAGCAGTGGTAGGCTATAGCCCTTTAGACAGCCCTAATTTGAAGGGAGCAAAGCTTTGCCCATGCATGTTATAGATACCTACTGCTGTTTGCCTATAACTCTATGCTGTAATTATATGCTGTAATGTTATATTTAGTTTTCATAAGACAGTAATAGCAGTGGAGGTGTACTGAGAAGCTGAGTCTAGACACATACAGTACACCAAAACCTTATTTAATACAGACAATCCAAGCTCTCATCTGAACGCAAGATCATTAACTGCCTCTCAGGCTCTTCAGCACTTAATAGTAGTGTGCTTTGCAAACATTGAAGTATTTAAAACAAGTATCACAAAAAAAAACCCTGTGAATTTGCATTTTACAAATGGAGGTCTGCAAGAAGCCACAGCTGTCAAATGCCCACTGATTGCACTGATAAACTTGTGACAGTGAGGTTCAGACGTGCAGAAAGCCGATGCCAAAGGAAATATGGAGCTCCGCTCTCCTTGGGGACATTCACCTTTCCACCAATAACAACTTGCCCTTTCTGCAATTGCTTTCACCGTTCATTAGAAGCCCTGCAGCCTCTGTGAAAATGGCAGGTGGACAGAGAAGAATCAGTCCCTAAGCCCGTGCTCAGCCAGGAGGATGTAAGCCCCAAATAGATACAGTATGCTCCATTGCACAGTGTTCCTCAACAAGGCAACGCTGGGGAAGGGGAGGACAGGGCCTCTAATGAAGCTGATATCAGTACTGACATTCCAACATACTGACTCGCCTCTATGTTCATTTATGTGTCTCTGCAGATTACCTGCGTGTCGTGGACATTAATATGTTCAAGGAGCCTCATGAGATTAACAAGCAGCAGCACCACACTGACAAGTACTACAGCCCTAAGCTGATAGTGCGTCGGGGACAGACTTTCCAAATCCAGATTGACTTCAACCGACCCTACAATCCAGAGACGGACCAATTCTGGCTGGAGTATTTGATAGGTAAGTGCCTGGCAAAGGATGTGTCATATCAGTAAAGTAAGGTTGAAGAGTCTCTCATAAACAGGAACAAAACAGCTCTTAATGGCTGAGTCTTTTCCTGTTACGATTGATAAACCATAAAACCAGGATTAACCATAGGTGAGGAAGTGCTTTTCTGAACAGGGTCTGAATCCTTACTCAAAAAAGTCAGAAGAATTGCTTATGAGAGAAGAAGGAGCAGTATTTGGGGCTTTCTGTTTATCAAGAAGCTGTACTTTATTGAGCTTTCAAAGTTATCTCTGGTTAATTGCTGTATGGCAATGCTGGAAGGTAGGTGGAATGGGAAACATCTTTTCTTGGTGTTTAGGAGATGCAGGGAAGAGGAGTCTGTTGTTTGAGGTGGGAGAGATGACTATGTATGAACTGGGACAACAAAATGTTGAGAATGTAAGTGGGGAAAATCACACAGGGTAGAAGAATAAGAGGCCTTGCAACTTCGCAGCCTCCACTTACAGCCAACTAAGTAACAAGGGAGAAGGTTCAGAGGTTGTAGCTTTGGACCAGAGACTTACTCAGGGCCACTCAGGGCTTTCTTGATTTACTGCAAAAAGAGTAAGAAACCATTTTTCCTCTCACTGAGAGATCTTCATCAGAGTCCCGGGTCCTAATGGACCTGTTGGCTTATTGAAGGTACAAGACTAGAGAAGGGCATGACCTCACTAGAGATGGGGAAAAGCAGGGGACAGAGTGGGACTTCCTGTGGTGCTCCAAAGATGGCCCCACCAAACGCTGCTTCTTCTACATCACAGCTCTGGGAAAGCCCCAGGTTCGTCTAGAGTGATCTGGGAGTTTCTGTGTTAAGACGTCAATGTTCCCCTTATAAACTCTTTAAAATAGGTTTGAATTGATGTTTTAATTTACTTTCCTCAAAGATGCAGTTCTGAAATTTGTAACATTGATTTTTTTCCACAATTGAATTATGATGATGTGGCCATTTATTAGATTCGTTGCCTTTTAAACCTAGATGGGCGTTTATCTCTTAAACGTATGTGCAGTGAAAAGGTTACTGTCTGCACATTTTTTTCATGGGTCTCTTCTTTCTAATTTAAATTAGGGTTGGGAGGCATGTTATGACAGTCCAGTGAATGATTGGCTGAACAGCCACAAGTGCCTTTAAAAATCTAATATGCATAAATATCATTAGTTCTTTTGGGATTTAATTAAATTCAAGACTGTTCCCTTAATCTTTATATGTTTAAAACAAACAGCTGTAGCAAGAAGTAGTGGAAAATGGAACATTTGTTTTTTATTGAATTGTGTGCAGTTTGCATTTGTTTTAATCAGATATTCTATATTGGAAGAAGAAATTTAACACTTCTTTTGACATTGCACAGTCCACTTAAGAGAACATATTCACTTATTTTCCTGTTGCTTTTTCCTAACACATATGTCCAAGGCCAGGTTGGATGGGGCTTTGAGCAACCTGGTCTAGTGGAAGGTGTCCCTGCCCATGGCAGCGGGGTTGGAACTAGATGATCTTTAAAGTCTCATCCAACCCAAAGCATTCTGTGATTCTGTGAATCTGTAAGCCTGGATCAAAATCCCTTCATCCTCAGACATGGTAGGAATGGGGTTAAATGCAGCCTGAGATACGGGGGACTTTGCAATAAACTCAGCTCTGAACAATGACTTTGGAGTCAGCCCTGAGTCTGTGGTTGATGTCCACTGCCCGTTCTTCACTGTTACTGTCTTTCCTGTGAAATGGGAATGGTGATACTGATGTCCCATGTGTGGTGGCTGGCAATCAGCTGAAGGAACATGCTGCATATACAGGTTAGTATATGCCCTCTCCTGCTTTTGATGTGTCTGCTTCTGTAAGCACCACTGCCCTCTTGCTACAAGGACTTTAGCTCACAGAGATTTGACCGGGAGAAGAGATGTTCAAGCTCCCCTTTGAAGAACTGGTTAATACTCAGTGTTCCACAAATGTTTCTCTTTACGCACATGTGGTGAAAACACAGTACATTTGTTCTCAGAGGCTAGCAACAGAAAGCAAAACAAAAACAGTCCACAAAGGAGAAGGAAATTATCCAGAGATTATCTGCTTGACTCTTGCTACTTCTCCTTTTAATGGCAAGTCCAATGTTTAATGCCTTGAAGGGGAGAAAAACATTTCTTGCACTTAGGAAAGGGCACTGAGAGCTCAAGGTTTCGGTGGTGTGCTTTCCAACCTTTTGTGAAGGAAGATGTGGCCATTTACATCCAGGTTTGTTCCGTTTGTCTGTCTGAAGAGCAGGTATTCATCTCTCGCAATGCCAGCCACCTGCAAACCGGAGCCCAGTCCAAAACATGTTGCCTTGGCTGCCTCTGTGGGCAGAGGATGGAGGCAGGCATGTCCAGGTGGCAGTTTAGCCCTACTGTCTTAAAATGGGGTGAACGCTCTTCTGGATTTTTTTTTTCTTCTTCCATTGACTCTCCTCCATAGACCAGGCTCTGACTTTAAGATCACAAAACACAGAGGAGGTGAATCCCACCCTTCGGTTCTGTCACGTAGGAACGAAACCTGAGGACTGCCTCAGGCAACAGCCCTACAGCAGAGGCAGCTTGAGCTCAGGGAATCTTTTTGCACTGAAACAAGGGGTACATATCCTAGGAAAGTGCTGAATTTGGGAGATTTAAGCAATGGACACCCAGAAATATTGGCAAGTTCTTGCAAAACGACCCTTTCAAGGAGTTCTCTGTGTGTCCTGAGCAGTGGATTTCAAACAGTGCAGCAGAACTGTAAAATAACCTAGGTTGGAGGGACCTCCAGAGGTCTTATGTCCAAGCCCATGCTCAAAGGAGGTCCAGCGTGCTCTGGCTGCTCAGGGCCTTGCCCTATGGACAGGTTTTGAGTATCTCCAAAGGTGGGGAGGTTACCCCAAGCAATGTGGACCACGCTGTCCACGAGCTGTAGAATAATTTGGGTGTTTCAAGGTGCTATTCTCATAAGGTGCATAGAGGTAGCAAGGTAGCTGTCCCTACTTGTGGTAGGGACAGCTGGCCTTGGCACTCAGGGAATTCAGCTGGAGGTAGGAAAGCTCAACCTCTCATTTGCAGGGCTGTGCCTACAGTGAGGGCTGCCTATTCAACAGCACCTTGTAAAGCTATTCAGAAATGATTAGTTCCCAGCACTGGAAATTTCCCAGCATTGACGTTAATCCATCACAGAATTTTTATCCATTAAAGACTAATTTTGCACCTGAAAAATGTGACAATAGTAATGACTTGAACCTGTGTGTGTGCAGAACTATTCTATTTCCTTTATTCCCTAAAATTCAGGTTCACTTCTCTTTTTTTGCTCCTATTTTTGCTTCTTTTACATCATTAAAAAGATGATTAATGAAGCAAGTAAAGCAAGTAGAAACTGCTTAATCCTTCTAATTGATAATGAATCAAGGGTACCTGGGACAAATGCTTCTAGCGTCACGTGAAACTAGGTCTGAAATGTTCACAGAACAATCTTTAGTAACAATCTTTTTTAATCCACAGTCCATTTAAAGACCATTCACACTGAGTCTGGAATTCATTGTCCAAATTGTATAAAAATATATATATACGTAAATATATAAATAATTCACCCCAATCTCTTGAAAGTCACTCTTACTGATTGTTTTCTGTGACGGTTCCTTATGACTAAAGTCCTTTTTGCTTTAACAGACTGTTTTCCGTAGAGTCATCATCAGTGAAACTGGCTGAAGTGCTAACGTGAATTATTATAATTCAGTTTTGCACATAATGCTTCATTAAATTAGGACCATACTTGTCTGCCAAAGTATGGAAAACAATGAATGTGCCAAAAAATCCGCATGGAAAAATATCCACTTATAAAGAGTAATGGAATATTATTCCAGTTCTTGTGCTGGACTGCAGCCCTGCCTCAGTACCTGTGGTTTGGGAGCTGCTCCGTCACCACAGAATTCCTTCCTTGCAGCCCACTTCCTGGCTTTAATGAGAGGAAAGGTGAGCATTGCCCCTTAGGAAACACTCATTTTATTGGTCTGGAGTTGAGATGAAAGAGGCACAAGAGAACTGTAGCTGCTGCGCTTACATCCAGCTCCCCACAGCAGAAACAATTTCAGTTTGCTTGGAGCCCCAGGGAGCCCAGAGGAGCCAATGACTCCTTCACCCATCTTGATCTCTCCTGACTACTGCCTTTGTGGTGAAGGGGATACGTTGTGCTGCTCTTGGCTTTCTGCTGTGTGGGGCTCAGCCTGTCCGAGCACGGCTCCTGCACCTGGGGCAGCCAGTTTGGCATGAGTACTGCAAAGTTTCCACAGTCCCTGCTGCGCTGGCAGTGATTTCTCTGAAAAGCAGATGTATGATTAGATGGGCTTATACAGCCTTCAATCTTGCTTTTAGTCGTAGTTTCCTGTACACGGCTGTAAATCCTGGAGTGGTTGATGAGTTTATATGGTGCATCCTTACTCTAATGATATATTTCCCCACATCCTCATAAATTGTTGTCTATTTGTATTTTCCTTAAATGGTTTCATAAATCCATATATATTGGTCTAGCCCTAAATGTTATTATGAACGTTTTATTCATTGGCATACTTCTGGAGTGATCATAAATCTCAGGCTACTATCACCTTTCCACACGTGTACATGCGTGGACACCCACCCACCCACCCAGCTATATGCACTCCTCGGGCTTCTATAAATCATTGGCTTTTGGCCTGAGATGAGAGCAGAGACTTACTGCTCCTTTTTCTACAGTCTTCCCAGGCCTGCTCCAGAGGAGTAGCTGTAAACACACGAAAGCAGCTAAGAACATAAAGATCTTAGAAGTAATCACGTATGCCTTATGTAGGTGACACCGAATTCTCACTTAGAAGAGGGGCATCTAAGCGCAACTAAATAACCAGGGGTTCGATTCAGGACACCCACACCAGAATCAATGGAGCTCTTCATGCTGTCCTACAGTGTCCACAGCCTCTCCCTAATTTCACAGCAGTGCTGGGACATGGGTTATTCCATGA